GAGCTGTAACAGTTTTGTTATTTATATCTCACGAGTTCTTACATGACTTTATCGAACCCGAATGAGCTGTAACAGTTTTGTTATTATATCTCACGAGTTCTTACATGACTTTATCGAACCCGTAACAAAACTGTTACAGCTCATTAGCTCATTCGGGTTCGATAAAGTCATGTAAGAACTCGTGAGATATAAAGTAACAGTTTTGTTACTTATATCTCACGAGTTCTTAAAAAAGCTTTGTCATACATAGTAATTATAATTAATTATAAATTTCACTCAATCGAATTACGGTTTATCTAGAGAAAATCACAGGTGGAAAAGGTAATTACCTTCATCTGTTTGTTTGTGTTTATGCGCAAAACAACGCAAAGGGCTTCAAGCTTACCGTTGAGTCATCGGAAGGTCCCCTTATCGTGAGAATTTATCTGATATTCCACTTAGGAATATACATATTTTTTTTCTGTATTCAAAAATGCTTGACTTACCTAAATTATTTTCAATCATATTCAGTTCTTAAGGCATTCTTCATAAATATTTGTTTTAGTGCAAAGTTGCACAAAGGGAATCGAATGACGGCTCATAGCGTTGCAACTTATAGCGTTGCAACTTACCGCTGACCCACAAGGGGATTGTTTGTAAAGAAATATAATCTTAAAATATTTCACTTTTTTTTAACAAGGAATAATCCTGCTACAGGTTTTATCCGAGTGACGAGTCCCAGTTTTGAATTAGATGGGTGTTATCGTTTTTATCTTAATATTTACAAACTTTACAATATTAGCTTCCACCATCTTATCACAGCTGAGTTGTTATTGTTGGCCAAAAAAATTTTCAGATATTCTTATATTTATAATAATAATAAAGATAATGATTGAAGTTAATATTTAAAGAAATATAAATACTGAACGTACGCAAATAGTTTACGGTATTTTCAATACGGTAACAACCAGTTAACGTACCTGAATAGCAGATGAATATATATATTAATTCACTGAAAAACCACATATAAATGTATTCTTGTTTCACTGCGCAGGTAATGCTTGAAACGTCAGAAGAAACATTTCACATAAATTTGAAGTGCGGGTGCTACGCAGTTTTTAATGTTCAAAAAGTTTGAGACTCATACCAACTTTTATTACGTTACAGGGTACATTCATATATATATATATACATATTCCTAAAAGAGATCAGATTACTCGGTAGAATAGTTACTTACCTGAAAAAAGAAGAAAAAAAAATTGTGGTGACGTCATCATAATGACATTTATAAATGAATGGGCGTTTTAGCATCATTATATCAAGGCTACTTTCGATAAATTGAAATATATATCAATGTCTCATGTGTTATAAAGCAGAGTCCTACTAATTCACATATAATCAAGGCCTATAAAGAACATTTGTATCAGTAAGTGTGTCTATGTTTCGATTGAAATGTCTCATTCTGAACATGGTAAAGATTATGTGTACGTACTAATAACCATGTGGTTGTTGAAACTTACAGTTACCGTATAATCCACACATGTATAATGCTGAAACTTACAGTTACCGTATAATCCACACATGTATAATGCTGAAACTTACAGTTACCGTATAATCCACACACGTATAATGCTGAAACTTACAGTTACCGTATAATCCACACACGTATAATGCTGAAACTTACAGTTACCGTATAATCCACACATGTATAATGCTGAAACTTACAGTTACCGTATAATCCACACATGTATAATGTTGAAACTTACAGTTACCGTATAATCCACACACGTATAATGCTGAAACTTACAGTTACCGTATAATCCACACATGTATAAATGCTTAGCATATTATTATTGCTCTAAGGATCTGTACAAGTAATGTTCCATTCATTTACAAAAGAAAGAAAATGAAACAACAACAACAACACGTTCATAAACTCCATAATTGAAACTGATATGGTTGTTATGGAGAGATCACAGATGGCGCTCATGTTGAGTTCTCGGTATGGTCTCTACCAAAAAAAAAAAAATGTTCACGAAGTTTCTTTACACGCTCTTGATATCACCATGTGAAAATTTTGAGCTTGATTTTAATTAGTCTTCGAATTATCTGCCTCAAATGTTCTTTATTTTAGTTGTCTTGGCAGCATCACTCTCGTGCTCAGAAGCTTTTTCTAAAGACAGAAGATTTGTGTACTTAGCACCCATAAAGTTGTACATCTAGAGTTTGCCAAATTCTTTGGAGTCCACACACAAAAAGAGAAAGAAACTGCGCAGAAGTGAGAGTTTCAGACTTGTTCAGGCTACGTCGTACTATAAATAATGCCATCAAGTTATTTGGCTGTGAAATACTGCTGGCACACTGATTTTTGTTCTTGAAGTTAGGCTTAACGCGATGTTCTTAAGGGCATCGGAAAATCCTGACTATACACAACATTTTAAGCTCGACGTAATGTTGTTTCAGAAAAGAACAGATTCATTTCTAGAAAAGAAAAGCTCAAGAACAAGGAAAAATCTTCACTTTCGAATAACGAGTTCATAGTTGAGGAGAATAGCCTAAATTTTTTCTTTGCAAGAACAGATGAATTTCCCTAAAATTAGGCCTATCGTTATCGTTTCTCTGCCAACATTCTCGCATGAGGTCATAAATCTCTTTAGGGCAGTTAGGAGGTTGAGAGGGCAACACGTGTTGACCATCGTTGTGATAGAAATGTCCCACGTTCTCGATCACTTGTTCATCACCCAAATCCGAATAGGGCTGTTGCCTGGCGAAAGTAAGGATTTCCCACAGAGTAACGGCGAAGGACCAGACGTCAGTTCTAGTCGTAAATTTACCCTGGAATAACGAACAAGGATTTAGAAAATTCATACAGCGTCCGTAAGTATAACCATCAATATCATTTTAATGTATAAAATACCACCTAGGAAAAGAAAAAAACATCCGTGTGGGTTTTAGATTATTTCGCCTTTTACTGTTTTCATATATGAATACCCATTACATGATTTATCCTTATTCCTCAATTAATTGTAAGATTTTCACTTAGATCATTCTTTAAATTATATGTTACAAAATGCTGCAACAGATAGCGATTTATTATTTTAATAAAGTTCATAAAAAGCTGCTTTTTTTGTTTGTTTGTTTTAGAATGTCTGCTCAAATCTACACAAAGCTATTTGCTCATCGCCGACCCTAAATTTGAGCTGAAGGACTAGAATGAATGCATCTAATCAACAACGTGCACTGCGAACTCTTGAGATAGTTTTGTCTAACCAAATAGTGGGATTTAATCGTCTCTCTCATAGCGAAACCGCGGCCCCACAGTGCAGAGCGCGTTTACTTTTGTGGCAGCGAGCAGTGAACCCGCAACTAACCACTAGACCGGACATGAACTGACCGTCTTTTTTCACACATCAGCGCCACCACAGTGTATACAATAACTTTACAGATTGCAATGTGTACTGATCAACTATTACATTGTCTAAGCGAAAGTTCTTTAAATTTCGGGGGGGGGGGGGATGAACAAAATAAACAAACATAAAAATTAACAAAAATATGGTTTCAGGTTTTCAATATATCCGGAGAAAGTAAGTGATTTTAAAGATTATATTTTTTCCTTAGCGGCTTTTAGCATAAATTAAACACTTTTTTTGGAGATATGCTGAGATAACATAGAAAACAATGCGATAAAAGTTATGTTTTCATACACAGTTTTGTGATTTAAATCGTTAGATATCCTGAAATACAATACTACCAGTCTTCCGGTGGGACAGCGGTAAGTTTATGGACTTACAACACTAAAATCCGGGGTTCGATACCACGCGGTGGACACAGCAGATAGCCCAAACAATAATAGCTCATGTGCATCATTTGAACTGACAAAAACGTATATTTAACAACATACATACTGGATCATAAATATGAAGGTATAATAAAGTTGATAGGGTTTTCTTTAGATATATTACGAAATATTGACATAAGACTGATCACATGTGAAAATATAGCCACTGTTCTACTACTTTAACAAACTAGAGTACAGCCTGTGCAGTCGTTCTGATGCTGACAAATAATGAGCTTATGACCGATTTTACCGAATAGCGTTGCTGTCGGGCGTAATTGTTCAAGCCCATGACTTGTTTGTTTTTATTTTTCATAATTTGATTTTCGAATGGAATGTCCTTTGACATTAACCAACCCGGGAACTAAATGTATTTAAGCAATTTCAACCTTACAATAACCAATCTAATTTTCATTGTTCATTTTCCACTTTGTTTGTTTGTTTGTTTTTTGTCATTGGAATTTGTAAACCGCAAAACCAGAACTTACCAGCAAGATGCTTTCCCAAGCCATCCATCGGATAGGAAGCATTGCCCTTCCCTCGATCCGATAGTAGTCAGCCGTGTAAAGGTCCCTACTCATGCCGAAGTCTGCCACCTTGATGGTGTAGGCTCTGCCCACCAGGCAGTTGCGAGTCGCTAAATCTCTGTGCACGAAGTTAAGTAACTCCAGGTATTTCATTCCCGATGCTACCTGGGTTGCCATATAGATAAGGCTGCCGTAGCTATAGGTACAGGACAGAAATATCAGATATTGTTGTGTTAGCCAATGGTTATTCTTAAATTAACGCAATCATAATGCTCTTAGAGATTTCATTGTTCGTTAACAATAATTAGTTTGTAATTTAAGTTTGAAGAGAATGGCAAGATTCAGATTCTTATCTAATTATCAGTAACTAAGATTGTTTTCTAATTATCAGTAACTAAATAATATGTCAAATTGTTTTCTAATTATCAGTAATTAAATAATATGTCAGATTGTTTTCTAATTATCAGTAACTAAGTAATGTGTTATATATATATATATATATATATATATTTCTTCTGAGTAGTTAGCAAAAGAAACTTACTCTAAGATTTAGATCTTAGCATGTAAAGGAATGGTTAGAATTAGATCAACAAAGTTGCTAATTTCAACATTTAGTGATGGATGAAGATGAAATGACTGACCTCAGGGTTTTGGCGTTCACCGATCTGTAAGCTGCACCTTCAGGAATGTGTTGTTGGAGAAACTGATTAAGGTCACCATTTTCCATGTATTCCACAATCATTCCCAGTGGTTCCTCGCGTGTGCACACCCCCAGCACGTGCACAATGTTGGGATCACGGAGCCGGGAGAGGATCTTGACCTCCTTGTAAAAGTCATTTCTAGCCTGTTCAGACGCATTCTGTCGCAAAGTCTTGACCGCTACCAAGGTCTTGTTACCGTAGCAAGGCACATCGACCAATTCAGGAATACCTTCTGCCTCACAGAGGTGGACCTTGAAAAAAGAGGAAGGATCAACTAAACAGGTTCTTCAATCTCTACTTCTTTAAGTTTTATATCTGTCACTTGTTAGAACAACAGAGGTTGAAATACTTTTAGGTTTCTGGTTTGATTTACAATGAAGTATGATTTAGCAGGCGTTGTTTAAGTCGTATTCAGTTGCAACACATAAAAAATCTCCGTTTAAAAATAGTTTTAAAAAAATAACCAGTCGAAAGTGAGGGTTCTTTACTCTCAAAATAAAACATGTTTTGAAAGGTGTTTATGAATATTAAACAACAACAACAACAACAAAAAAACTCTCTGATTTTCGAAATTATTCATTTAGTAAAGATGCTTAACAACCTTTATTGCTGCATAATGTTTGTTGCTATGGAGATGTGGAGTGTATAGATTACTAACGCTGCATAATGTTTGTTGCTATGGAGATGTGGAGTGTATGGGTTACTATAGAAAAAGACGTGGACTGACACATTTAAAGCTTTCTAGTTGAAAATAATGGCGAGATATTTCAGCAGTATGTTTTGTTTTCATCTTAGCACTACGTACTTTGTTTTTTCAAGGTAGCTTCGTACAGCGTTTCAAATACGACTTTTGGTAACGTGGTTCAAACGATATATAAAATCACGGTATCAACATTCCCCGGATTAACTGGTAAATTAGGCTTGTAGCTCTTTATGTATGTGTGTATGTTCAGCTAACTTCTCTCTCAGTTCCGGATTTAGCAGTACCAAACTTGGCGGGTGGACTCGGAGCAGTACGAGGATGGCCTATTAAGGGGGCTAACGCCCACAGACGGTCACCTAGACGATATGGGATCTAAGGGTAAGTTTTCTGGGTCGCTGAACCCGCATCTGGCACCGTATTCTGTGTTCTTGGTTCTTCCTCAGGATTTCGGGTGTGTCATGTTTGAAACTGTGTTCACGCCCCCACTCGCAAGCTAGCGGCTCCAAATTTAGCACGATCGCCCAGGTACGACGAGCAGATCTCCTAACAGTAGCTATAGAAGTAATTGGGAATAATGGAGAAACTTGGGCCTCTGTGGATCATGAGGGGCCTTTGAAGCCGCAAATAATAAAAACTACTTTTGATACGTACAGCTCTACCTGCTGGAAATGTCCATTAACACTTAGTTACTGATTAGGGAAAAACGCACTTGTATTTAGATCATTCATCCTGTGAAAACAAGTATCATCAAAAAATAAATATATTAATCTGTGGAACACAAAATATATTATTCTTCCTTTCCAAACAGCTTACTTAATTGGATGCTACAAAACCGTATGAAGTGAGGGGGACACTTTCCAATCTGTTCCAGTAAAAATGCATCATAATTAAGAAAATTGCTCTCAGGAAAAGCAAGATAACGTATACAATATAATCCAGCAACCAATAGATTCCAGGGCCATAAGACGAACCTTAGACCCCGTCCCGTAATGTGTACGCCCCTGGCGCATAAACCTTGGCTCTCCACTTTTAATTTGCCTCATACACCTCTCACCGATATATCCCTTAAGTTATGAAAAATCTTTATCAAATAATCTTATAAATGCTTCTTAGATTTTAATGATGGAATGAGTTGTTGAAAAGTGTTTTGTGGCATTCTTATCAAACACCCAGAGTGTTTATTATAGTGAACAAAAAACCTAACCTCTCTCTCTCTCCAATTGTCATAAGTATCATTACTTTTCTCTACATTAAATTTGATACAAAATCTGATTAAAACAATATTTCATCATAAACGCAGTGACTTAGCTTCATTATCTGAATTACGCAAATCTGAACAGACTAGAGATAGACACCTACCTCTCCAAACTGGCCCTCCCCGAGTTTCTCCAGAAACTTCAGTCTGTGTCTAGGAATCTCCCGGACAGGAGGTTCTTCTCTATTGAGCAGTTCTACATTAGGCACAGCGTAAACGGTGCTACCGCTCACCCCTTGAATGTTGGGAAGTTTGACAACATCTGTAGCTGCATAATGTTTTTCGCTAGGATGATGCGGGGGCTTAACCAGTGTTTGGGGGAAGTTCACAGGTGTTGGAGGTGGGTGACAAAGAGGTGTCGAGGGCTTCTGAACATCAGGAACGGCGTATTCCCTAGATGTTGTGGAGTCTGCGGGTGGAAATAAAAGGCACTCATATAGTATAAACAAATGTAGTGGAAAAAAACTGAAATATGATTAACTAGGCAGGAAACGAATTTTTGCAAATATTTTGTTGATTTTTGCATAGACACACGTATCAAGCTTTTTCTTAACAGTTGGTAAGTATAGTTTATAGTGTAGTTGGGTAGTTATAGTGTTAGCAAAGCTGGCACAGTTTTTATGCAAATGTAGAACCATTGTGCACAACAAGTTAAAGTTCTCTTTTATAATACAATACAAAAACTGTACTTTAAGTACAAGTGGCTGAATTGTGGCTATAAAATCCTTATTTTCTCTGCAACAACAAAAAACAGAACTCACATTTAACAATGAAGAAACTGTGTTCAATTGTGAGAAGTGCTTACCATTACTATATATTCCTCCGAAAGGCTTGAAGTCCTGGGGCTCCTGGTAAAGCAGCTTGTCGGGGTCAGCGTCATCCAGCGCCACCTGGCCGTAGACATTGCCATTAGCTTGACGTCCCACGGGTGAACACGGTGAATAGCTGATTCCCAGATCCTTGGTGAATCGCATAACACCGTACACCTGAGGTTACTGATACGTACAACACAACCCCCCTCCCCCCTCGCGGTATAACCTTAAATCTCCACTCCAGAAAACTTCTTATATTATTAATATCAATTTTAATGTTAATAAACCAATCAGGTTTCTTGAAATTTTGAAATATTTTAGTAATACCAAAATGTCTTTCTACAAAATTAATTAACATTTTTACAGTTAATGGATCTCTTAATTTACTTAAAGGTTTCAAATATCTTAAAAATGCATTAATGTTATGGTAATTACATATATATATATATATAGATGGACACTCTAACCCGAAATACAGGTAATTATTTGAAAAAATACCGTTGAATTAACGTGAAAAAAAGGAAACTTGTATAATGACATTTCATCCGCACCTTAACAAAATTTCCCCAAATATTCAATCTTTCACAATTCTAATAATTATTTCTAGATAGAGATCTAAGTATTAACACTAATTTTTCTACGATTTTCATTTATAATATAGGAGAATGTGATACACTTAAAAAAAACATATTTACATAATTAGGAACATCGAAGTAACTTTCCACCATATATTTTTTTTCATTATTTGTTGAATTTCTCGAAGGCTGTCTGAACTAGCCGTCCATATTTAGAAGTGATAGGCTAGAGGGAAGGCAACACCCACCGTCAACACTTGGGCTGCTCTTTTACCAACTAAAAGTGAGAGTGGTCGTCACATTAATAACGCCCCACAGCTTAAAGGGCGAGCATGTTCGGTGAAGGATTCGAACACGCGACCTTCTTATTGTGAGTCGAGCGCCTTAACTACCAGACCATGCCAAGCCGCCGTGATATATTTTATATAAATCTAAAAGGAATATCTTTTTTGAAAACACGCTGCTAACGATTGTTAGTGGTTTCAGGATGTTTGCACTAAGCTACACAAAGAGCTACCTGCACATAACAGCACCCAGTGCTAACTCTTAGGCTACTCTAAACTCAAAGAGCTGAGGGCTTATTGTAGCAACGGTCACGCTAACTATTGGGCCACACCCGGCCCTACTGCAAAAGAACCCCTGTGTTGTTGGCATCTTTCAGCGCCTTTTATAGTCTTATAGTTATCTGTGTTATAAGACTTAGATGACGATATTAACATCAGTAACTGAACCTTTGTTAATTATGTTTGATAGCTAATGTTCGGGTACAACTGTCTAACAGCAACGAAGCCTTTTACTGCACAGTGATGACTGAAATGTCTCAATATTAATTTATTCTCATAGTTATAAATGAGTTTTGTTTGGGAAAAGTATTGGATTATAAAATAATAGTCAAATATCAATGAGCATCTAAACATACACTTTTATAAAATGTTCGTTTTTTATAATGGCGATAGAAAATGCATTTATGATTTCCTAATTTTTATCTTTGGTTGTGTAATTAGAAAACATTTTTGCTTTAAAAGTGTAACAAGCCGAAATTTTTCTATGTAAAAATAGTAGCACACACAAAAGCCCCCCAGTGGCACAGCGGTATGTCTGTGGACTTACAACGCTAGAATCCGGGTTTCGATACCCGTGGTGGGCAGAGCACAGATAGCCCATTGTATAGCTTTGTGCTTAATTACAAACAAACAAACAAACACAAAATAATCGTTAAATAAGATTAAAATTTCGGTCGGCTGAGGTTTAAAATAGTATTAATTATTCGTTCAGTAAGTAGCTGTTTAACAGAAAATGCTATAACCAGTTTTTTTTTTATTGTAAGGATGAGGGTTACAATTACCTTAGCAAATTTCAAGGCGTCGTCTAGCATTCTGTGAAAATTTTATAAATCAAACGTACTTAGTCCCCCTTGACTGCACAGCGGCTTGACTTACCTTCATATTAATGGTGACTCTGTTCTCCACGGGCTTGAGCATGGTGTGAGGTGTTGTGTGTTTTCGACGACGATTACGAGCGATGATGATGAAGATCACGATGATAAGGAGAAGAATAACCGCAGCTAAAACGCCAATGACCAGTCCTACGTACTGGCTGGATAGGGAGTCATCATTCATCGCCGTACTTACTAAACGTAAAAAAAACACTTTATACCAAACAATGAAAATGTCCATGAGTTGGAGAACTGGCTCCAACTTACTAAACGTAAAAAAAACACTTTATACTAAACAATGAAAATGTCCATGAGTTGGAGAACTGGCTCCAACTTACTGAACGTGAAAAAAAACACTTTATACTAAACAATGAAAATGGCCATGAGTTGGAGAACTGGCTCCAACTTACTAAACGTAAAAAAAAACACTTTATACTAAACAATGAAAATGGCCATGAGTTGGAGAACTGGCTCCAACTTACTAAACGTAAAAAAAAACCCAAAAAAACTTTATACCAAACAATGAAAATGTCCATGTATTGGAGAACTGGCTCCGACTTACTAAACGTGAAAAAAAAACAACACTTTATGTCAAACATTGAAAATGTCCATGAGTTGGAGAACTGGCTCCATTAGTAGTGCTTGCCTGAAGCAACTCTGTATTTATTTCATCCAAATTTTAACCAGAACTGGTGGGTTTAATAATTTATTATTTATTTCCTACATTTTTGCTGTCAGGTAAAAGTAATTTTCAGTTTCATATTCCAAATTATTATAATGATATTAATAAAACTCTTTGGCTCTATAGATTAATTTTCACAATACCAGTAAGAAGTATACCTATAGGCGGCGCTGCAGGAGGTTCTTCTTCTGTGAAGTTCCCTTGGGCTGGAACTGAAAAAGAAAACGAATATAACTGTTTCGTGCACATTTCCTTTTTTTCAATGCAATATATTTTTAATTCATCAGACTCACTAGTTTACAAGTATATCAGTCTCTCAAGCTATATTAATGAGAGGTTCTAATTTTAATACTTATCAGACTAGTTATTTATTAGACTTATTTGCCATTATCTCATGATATGGGATATTCTTGCGCACAGGAAAAATAGATCTGAATTATTGTAACATATTGCATACTTAACCTCATGGACTGCAATTTTATACAACAAAGCATATCCGTTTTTCATGAGTATCGTAAACAACTTTATTTTTCGATAGTCACTGTAATGTCCTAATAGCTTTACCAGTATGCGACACCATATCTACACATCCAGTTAAGCGAAAGCTACGAATATAGGGAACATAGGCCTCACTCAGTTCACTACGAGATTTAGAACAAGCATAGAAAACGTAATGAACTTCATCAATCTCTGTTTCATGCCGACTATCAGAGGAAATAGTCATCACGTATACATTACATTTCTCTTTCATCTTCAACTTAGGATCCGACACATATCGGCACGGCAGGGTTCAGACGAAGGAAGTTTTCGAACTACTGATCCGGACGAATTATTGTGTTAACAAAAAAGGAACTACGGCGGTTTAAACTTTCCGAACATGTTCTGGTTGAAGACTTATAAAGCATGGTCTTCCTTTCTGGAATCCTGGAAAGAGGCCACCTACCGACTATTTCCAGGAAGCTCAGCAAATAAAATATTATTACATCATTTTGTGAAAGCGGTAATTCCTTAAACATTTTAAAACATTACATTAAATGAAGTTTAAGTTTTAACTGACATTATGGTTATATCGTGAAGAATTACAATAAAATACGAACAGACACTACGGTACAGTGTACACTAAAATACGATCAGCACTAGGATACAATATACACTAAAATACGACCAGCACTAGGATACAATGTACACTAAAATACGACCAGCACTAAGATACAATGTACACTAAAATACGAACAGACACTAGGATACAATTTTAGTGTACATTGTATCCTAGTGTCTGTTCGTATTTTAGTGTACATTGTATCCTAGTGTCTGTTCGTATTTTAGTGTACATTGTATCCTAGTGTCTGTTCGTATTTTAGTGTACATTACGAACAGACACTAGGAT